CATCTCGATACGATCATTTTTGACGAAGTTACACTCTCTTGAATTTTGCCTATTTTTGGAGGGTAGAGTAAGTGATGCTTTAATTTTGTTGAGAAGTGTATTATAAAGTATTATGAAGTATTTTATTTACACGAATAACAATAATTTTATTTATATCTAGCTCGACTTTGTTTCGTGAAAGAACGTTTCAAAATTGAAATTAGTCGACGTTTCACGTACAGTGAAACGTCAACTAATAAAGCTGGATACGCACTTAGCGAACAAACAGAGAACGCGAATGTTCGGACATTCACATTCGCTGTCAGTTCGGTGTTTACTCGCTAAGTGTATACCCAGCTTAAAATATCATGCAGTTTATCGCAATTGCACTAATTGTTGCTAAATTTTTTGACTGTACAAACTTGCGCTTTTTCTTATCGTAGCGCCGACTCTCTGAATCTCTCAACTGATGGGCGGTATGTTTATTATGATATAGAATCGCTAGTGCCGTGGCGACGAATAAGAAAATGTTACTAAAATAAGCGGCACCCATGGGTCCATAATAATACACCGAAGATGCAATATCTCCTGAAATAGAAAATGAATTTTTCGCATTATACGTTCCAATAAATATTAATGTCCATTTATAAGTTTACAATTGAAAGTTGTTAAGAGCAATCAAAGCTTCAGTAAAATGTTTCACTAGTATCGCTAATAAAAATTCCATTGTTACTTACCACCAATCCAAAATTTTCTCGTGCACATTCGCGGTCGAATCCAATTCTTCGGTATACCGGGAGCATCCATGATGGCAGTAACAGCGTTGACAATGAAAGTAATTCCCCACGCATAGATAGAATATATCACGAATTTCTTTTTTATTTTCTTTTTCTTTTCGGTTACAGAGCGCAAACTGAGTTTTCTGCAAAATGCAATTTACATTTAGCCAATAACACATGTAAATTATTGTTCAACATACGCATTTGAAAAGAAAAATATTTGCAACTAAGTTGTAAAGTAATAATTATTTTGATTATACACACACACACACACACACACAC